TTGTTACCTGAATCCTGCTTACCAAGTATTGGTTATACCAGCTCTACTGAAGGAACTAGTAGTATAACTGAGAATTCTAATAAAAGCAATAAAGATATTTTACATCTAACTTCAATCGATACTTCAAACAAGCAGGTTAAAAAAAGAAAGTACAGATCTAAATCTATTCGAATTTCTAATTCACCTAATAGCGGGGCTAGTGCCAAGGTACATATTATCAGTGGGGGTGATATACCCAATATCCTAACAGAAAAAGTAGAAAATGGTGATCTGTATACCCTAATCGAACGTAATCGCAAAGAAACAGAAGAAGCCGAACGTGAATCAGAAAGGATTTTAAATTTCAACTAATCTATCTTTGTTTTTTCTATAGATGTGATAGCATCCTCACTCTGTGGGTCGATAATGGTAATTCTTTTATTTGAGTCTTCAGATTCATCTCTATAAATTCGTAATTTTTTATTGAGTTTGATTAGTTTAACATTGGATTTGAGAACATCATATAGCGATTTTTCCAACTCCTCATAGCTCATGCGTTTTTTTTTAATGGTGTATTGTTATCATCGCTATCTACATCCTGCGAGATTTGATCAGGTATTGAAGTATTGGTATCTTGAGATGTAGTTGCACAATTCACCTCTAATTTATTTTTAACCTTGTGCATATTGATTGGGATAAAGAACTCCTTACCATTGCACTCCAACCTCAATTGGCGATTCGATGCAAGTAGATCGTAATTATGTTTATCAAGCAAAGTATTAGGTAAAATCAGCATTGGCTTATGATGTTTAACAACGGCAAAATCAGAATATATAGTACAACCTGGGGTGAAAGTTACCGGCACATTATAGACGATTCCAATTGATTCAGTAGGTGATGTAGCAATTCCGCTGAGATCGTGTTTTTCTTTTGTATCAATTACAAATTTTAAACGTTTAACAATGTCTTCAGTTATAATTGGAAAATTTGCACCAGGATCAACCGTGGCTGCCGGAATTACTAATCTTTTGATTTTACACTTTGTGGTAACAACATCTGTGGCTGTATCTTTTTTCTGAACGAAATCAATTTCCATAGGATCGTCTATAGTCTCTTCTCCCTCTGACTCAGGTATTTCCGGAACTGGTTCTCTATACTTTTTGGAGTCTGATACCTGGGTTGCTGATGCCGAATTGGATGGATTTTCAATTTCAGATTTCAGTTTCTCTAACCAATGTGCGGGTAAAGCTTTCTCGAGCATATCTAACACGATCTTTTGGAGAGATTTTTCAATAACAGTGGATTTATTTCGTGACTTTTCAGAATTGGAAGTCTCTTTCTGGTCCTCCTTACAAGGCTTGGATGAGTTTCCAGCTCGAAGCTTCGCTTCCTCGTTTTTGATTTTGGGTTGCTTTGATTTCTTCCTAAGTGGCGATTTTGTAGAGTTGCTCTTACGCTTTACTTTTTTTTTACCTTAGTAATATGAACCTTAACATCACTTTCAGATTCGGATTCAGCTGAAGATTCTCCAGAAGCAAACCCGGATTCAGAGCCAGAATCGGATTCATTATCAGAAGAGTTAGAATCTGAACTTGATTCAGAACTTGAATCTACAGTGGCGAAATTGACTTTACCTTTATTTTTGGATTTATTTTTAGACTTGCTTTTTTTCTTATTTTTAGAACAATTGCGAGAATTATGTCCAGTCTTATTGCAATTTGAGCAACGGTGCTGTGATGATTTTTTTATAACTTTAGTAGCTTTAGCCAAATTTAATGATAAATTTGACATACCTTTAGTAATTTCATCTATGTTACCGCCACTTGAAGTAATATTTTTTTCCTTAGACAAGTAATTCGAAATCTTTCTCATCATATCCACAAGAGACTGTAAAATAGATGTATTGCTAGCTGTGGCACTGAGACGATCTAATGCATTATCCATTCGAAGCCATTCTTGATCATTCAAGCGTAGATTTGAATCGCTATATATTTTACCTGGTTCCATTTGACTAGGACGTACCAACTGTCTATCTCTCAACTGAGAAACCGGTTGTGAAGAAATAGGTTGAGATTGTGTAGATGTTATTAATTTAGATGACGATTTATAACTAGACTGGGGTATTTTACTAACCAATCCTAATTTTTTTTCTGCTCTTCGCATTTCAATGCGCTCCAAAATTTCAAAAAGATCAGCTAATGGTTGCTCAGTACCAATGCGTTCTGCATCATCTTCCAAATCTGGAGACAAACCTCGAAGAAATTGGCCCTTAATCTGTTGCTCGTCGAGATTAAGCATTTTTCCATATTTTAAGAGTTTCGAGTAAAATTCTCCTATAGGTTCACTTCCTTGAGCTAATGATCCATATACTAAATTGCGTTTCTCGCTTATTACTGTGGGGTATTCATTTCTGAGCCAATATAATGCTTGACCAATTCGAATGTCGCCAAATACAATAGGATTACCATTACCTGCATTAATTGCATTAACAGGTCTATCTGATGGTCGCCCCCCAGCCAGGTGCCAATCTTCAGTAAAAGCTTCAGCTGGAATCATAGAAACACCTACTGTTACTGCATTATTACCAGCGGTATTTGCATAGTCATGGGCAATCGAAGGATTTCTAAAGCTATTACTAGTATTCATCTCTGCCATAGTGCGACCCCGAAGAGCGCCCATATCTGCCTGGCCATGATTTGCAAAAATATTGTGAAGTTCCCATCGCTTACCAAGAATTTTTCGATCAAACCATTCTAATGCTCGCCCATGTAGACACCCTCTAAGAATACCAAATGCTTGATCTCGATTGGCAACTGGGTCTATACCAGTGCCAGCTAAATATGATGATAATTGACTAATAAAAATATCAATATCCTCGTCATACTCACCCGAAAAATTTGGTAGTGGTAGTGGTTGTAATGCCATATTCGCTTGTATATTTGGTGGGTTATTTTGTAGTGCAAAAATTTGTGCTTGTAAATTATTTATTAATTGTTCAGAATTTCGAGCGCGATTTTTCCACTTACCCCACTTGTTGTCCAGTTGAACATTGACAAGTAATAAATCATTTTCTAGAGTCTTGTATTTATTTTTCCATTTGGTGTATCGATTCGTTGTAAGATTTAAGAGATGCGTAGTAATTGCCCCATGTGTCTTACAATCTTGTAGTTGCTGTCGGGTTCGTCTATTTAAGAGATACAATGCAAATTTCTCTGCTAGCAACTCCGATATTTGTCTTTTTTGCATACGGATTGTAATTCGACCATCAAGTTCTCGAGATTTGAATATATTATGTTGTGTTCTGTGGGCCTCGTAAGCCTG